GCTTGATTTACGAGCCTGTCTACGATCCCCTTTCAAGTCATGGTGGCAACCCCATCGCCTCCAAACTCTGACCTCCGAACAGTTACTGAATGATAATAATCTACAGATCGAAACGCTTAATTTTCTCAAACTCGATCCGCCTCAGAAGTAGGTATGCGCTGAATATTTAATTGGCACAGTCTCATTGCTCGGCCCAATAACTCTCATGGGAAATAATTCTCGCTAATTACATTATTTATAAGTGTTTAATCAATTTATAGCTTGCTTAAGTCAGTTGGAAAGTGTACAGTATTGTCGGCCATCAACTTATGACGCGAGGGATTTTATCTCCAGACGTTACGTCATGTAATCTGGAAGGTCTTAGTTTAATTAACAGAACTTTCCTACTTATTATTTTACTCAGAGGCTCCGTGAAAAGTTTTTCGTATCGAGTAATATTTGATACAGTAAATTCTAGAAATGTTCCATTTTTGTTATTACGTGTAATATCTTGATTGGCTATTGTGGAGAAAGGAATTCTATGTACAAAGTGAACAATATTTTCGACTTAGCTAATTGTGAAAGGTGTGGATGCCGGTCGTTGCCTGTGTTATTACCGGTAGCATGACTCCTGCTACTCAGCCAGGAGTTAGTAAAAGTGTTAATAAAGTACTACCACTTTCCACTAATTGTGTTTTCCGTTTCATATAATAGAGGTAACCTGATTACCATGTATGACAAATGAAGGGGCTGTGAGTAAAATCCTGCTCACTGCATATCATAATCTCAAGGAAATATAGACGCGTTAGAGTTGGTGTGGTAACGTAATATGCAGACATCTTTATCACTGCTTACCAAACAACTCATTAGCCATTCTAACAATAGAAATGCACAAAAATTTGAAAGTGGATATAACAATGCTTTTGTAACAATATTAGCATCGATCTAGCTATTGGGAAAGTTGTAAAGGATTCATGAATATGAATTAAAACTAATAGATTCGATGTGCGGTTAACTATAAGAACGAAATCAGCATAGATCAATATTCCAAGTTATTTGTTGAAAATTTAGTTTATTTTAGACTTTATAGACTGTTTTGGTTAGTCGTGTGGTTGTGGACTTTAAAATAAAACGCCTTAGTTTGGTTCCCGAAGTAGGAAAAATGTTATTGATTTTTTGAATGAAAATTTTTAAAGTAATGGCCTGAAGTCACACATATTAGTTGGTATATGGGGCATGCGGGGCGTGTCCCCCATATTGTAAGGGACTATTATTAAACTTAATGTGGTTTCTGGAGCATTCATCGGATTGTTCAAAAACTTTTCGATGTATCATAATGACTTGAAAAAGTTATTCTTTTCGTTCCGAATGTTTAACGTATCTACGACGTTTCCACTAAGTTGGACATTCTGCAGTGAAGTTTCTCTATTGTGCATTCTGAAACAACTTTTAGATCTTGAAGGAGTTAGACTTTTATACAAAGCAAAGCAAAATTGTCTCAATACGTATAAAGATAGGAGCTATTATTCATTGGTTCTAGAAAAACAAATCAAATATATATGCCAATAGAAAGGCCCCAGAAATAAGCTGTAATCCCTGTTCTAACTTATCAGAGCTTACCTTTGTAGCCAATAAACCTGATATACGGTATGTGACAAGTTTAGGGACAGTTTTGGATGCCAATCGGTCATTAAATCAATCGAAGGGGATGATAGAGGTGTTACGTTGTCAATGATGAATAGATGTCTGCGAAGGGTTGACCTGGAAGCTGTAGTTTTAATTAAACTGACACAATATAGGGACTTTTTCGTCGGTGAGTTGTTGAAAGCTTTAGCTAAAATGTTTGTAAACGCAACGAGGGCTTTTTTGCCGTGTTGGTTATGTAGTCTGGACAGTTGGTGTGGAAAAGTAAGTAAGAGTAGAAAATCAGACCAGTCGAAAATCACTCGTGCGAAACGGGAGCTGCTTCTTCGAAAAGTCCACTGGTAGAGAGACTAGAAAAGTTTTATTTGTGTTGTACTCTAATTACGAAAAACAGAATGCTATATGTTCTGTTTTTTTATTTCAAAATATTATATAGATATACGCGAAGCTCATGGAAATTCCAGTAACAACAAAGTCCATGAATCTAGAGATTCATTATTAGTTCCATACTCATAATATGTATGAAATATAACTACGAACAATAAGTTCATGCATCTGCTTAGAAGGGAATGGGAACAGACGCGATGCTAAGTTATGTAAGTTCAGATGTATGTCGCTATCTCGTACTGAACTTAGTTAAAGTTTTGAAGACATTCCCGGTACCAGTGTAACACGCCAACCGCATCGTAAAAAATTATAAAACTTGATACGAACGAATTGAACTGATAAAATTTTTGATGTAGTCTAAATGCCGCTATTTTTCGCAAAGATATAGACTGTTTTTGTAGAATATGTAATAAGCTGTTCTTGTCTATTTTATTAAGTAGTAATTCAATATGTAAATTACCAACTGGTCGCCATAAACCGGCCTATAAACATAACATATTATCTAGACTCGATACTACTAAGAATTCACAAATCGAAAAACGCATAAAATATCCCAGTTTGGATATTTGCGTCCCATTTGCGACCACTTACTACCAACGAGGCAGTAAAATATAAGTAATATAAAACAAAAAGCATAAAGGAGTCGTTGCTACTAAAATAAATTAAATATGTAGGCTGAAACGTCTAGCTGTTCAAAGCACTTTATTAGCAGAATATAGTACAGCGAACTTTGCCGGTACTTACCTCTGCTTTTCCGTAAATGTAGGCATCTTTACTGTGACGACAAAACTTAGGGAGTTATGTAATAACGTCATGTCACATAACCCACACCGCCTGTGTAGTAACCCCTTTCTCTAAGGCGCTTTCACTCGCTCGGAATGTTAAGTAGATATATTCTATATTTTTGCTTTTCTCCCTATGATCCTCTGTACTGTTTAGATGAAATTCTTCCTGCTTATTTTGCTTTATGCTGGATAAAAAGTCATCTCGTCACGCCAACGTGAGCTCTTTGAATATGGTTGTTTGGTTGGAACTTTGCAATCTACATTATTTAGATGTACTTGTGAATGTTTCGGCTGTGAACGATGCTAAACATCGATTAATTACAAGAGTAATACATTCTTAATGAACACTGCTAATAAAATATTCGATCTTATCACGAGGATTTTAAGGTCGTGTCTAACTCGACTAAAGCTCCAAGTCCAAGATTGAATCGTTCTCAAGTAAAGCCGAAATAAACTCTGAATTATATAGACATAATGCTCAAGTCTCGGCGATTTAAGGAGAATGATTATAATGTTTTCTAAGAAAAGTAAATGATATTTCATCCAGTCGGTTTCCATTGTCTGACGAGACTTCATTCATTTTAATCTAAGACTGTCGAGAACACGTTTATGTTGGAAATGTGTATTTCGTAAACGATTGTACTAAAATATACTGAAATATCACCATCAAGTCTATGTCTACGATTTCTTAATACTAAATCTTAATGTCTTGGCAAACTATTATTAATGTCGACCTTAAAATTGTTTCGTAAAGGTTGAATGTCAGATGAACAACAAAAACGATATCTGCTTATCAATTGCAACAATTATTTGTATTGATTTATAATGATAACTTACCTACTGACGTATTACGATTATAATTAATTGTTGTTTTAATGCAGTGACGACCGATTTCTTATCGGTGTTATTGCTTTATGTCGGAACTATCAATAGAGGTATTCCTAGAACTTATGATCGGCTTCTTACTTCATGTTTTGCAGTTTTTGTAATCAGAACTCAGGACTTCGTGTCTTCTTCCTTTTTTTAAATTACATCGGCAGTATGTACTTAGAGTATGAGTGCTAACGAGAATCGGCTTAATATTAAGAACATATTTTAAACAGAAATGAACAGAAATGTTTCAATATAATCAAGGAAGTCTGTAAGAATACTTTTCACACAAAACGTTAGATAAATGAAATGGTTTCCTTTTCTAATGCATTTCTAAGTCTGAATATTTAGTGCGCTTCAATGAGGAAGCTCGAAGTTTCACGGTTTTATTCAACCAAGTAAAAGTCGTGGAAGCCGCAACGAAATGAAATGGTGGGTGACTGGCGTAGGAAATGACACAGTTTTATAGTCAATTCCTTCCTCCCTGTTTATATGGATAGCTAGAGACCTCTAGCATTCGTTTTTTTGTAAACTATTTGGAAATACCTCGTATTGCGGTGAAATACTAGGCTATCGACGGTGTGATAGTAATTTCGACTGTATCTACCTCTTTGGGGCGGTGTTCGTGAGAAATGTATTGGAAATAATAATATGAATTGCTTGAATTTTTGTACTATTGCTTTTATTTTAATGGTATATTTATTTACTGTTAGATTTGGTGAACTTAATAAGTAAATAGAGAATATAGTGGAGTAATAGCGTAGAATGAATGTCCAATAATGTTGTTAGTCTTTAGGAACGAACCTATTGTTGAACTGGAGCGATTTCAGACTAATGCTGTTATTGGGAATTTCAAACTTCAAATCCTACCAATACGTTGACCTAATAAAATTTCGGAATTGAAAATCTCAATGATGCTTAAACTCTAACGTGAATTCGGACTCAAGGAGCGTTTGAACTAGTTATATGATTTGAGCAGTGAACTCGTTTTGAAAGTATTTATTTATTTCGGTCGAACCGATAAAGCGATTTGGGTAGTAAAGACGACTATTTAGTAGGTGTTTAAGTAGTTTAATTGTATCCAACATTAAAATGTGAGTAGGTGTTAATTTAAGTATTGTTTAGCTTCTGACGTTCTACTATTTTGTGGCGTTACAAAACTTTTGCACTCCTTTTTATGAGAACAAGCTTACAAATAGCCTGATAGTAAACGGTTTTCGCTGCCCATTGACACTTGCGGTGGGTATCTGATGGCCTTTAAAAACAGAGTACCTACTCCACGCACTCTTTTTAATTATTCCGAAGTAATAAAAGTGCAATTTGTTCGTATTACAGTTTCGACGTGTGGCGTGAGTTCCCCGACCGGATAGTGGGGTTTCCGTCCAGGCTGCACGTTTGGGATAACACCACCAACTCGTGGCGATACCACAGCGAGTGGACCAACCAGATTTCTATGGTGAGTACTTTGCTTCGCTTCACTGCAACTTATGGAAGTCAGCGTCTGCAACAGATACCAATAAACGTCACCGAAACATTGATGGTTCATGAAGAGTTAAAGATTCATACTTCGTCATCATCAATCGCTCATAACATTTTACTGCTGTACTTTAGGCCTCTCATAAAAGAGTTTGCCATGATCCCGACCCTTGGCAGGGGTGTTGGAGATCCAGAGAGCACTGCAGATGTGTAGTGCCTTTTACAAATTCATCTTAATCAGCCTATAGAAATTATTAGCCCAGGCTTCCTCACAATGGTTTCCTTTACCGTTTGTCAGTAGTGTCTGGATAATCTTAGAAAGTACGTATAACTCGGAAAAAGACACATTGGTAGTTGCCATTGGTAGGTTACGAACCCGCACTCTCATGCATGAGAAGCGGGCATCTTAAGCCTCAGGGCCACTATGATAGCAAAACAGGGATTGCAAGAAATGTATTCCACGCTGCCATAACCACATGACCAGCAGCACGGTTTTCAGTAGCAACCTTCTATTATGCCTACCGAAAATAGGCTCCAGAGCCATAGCAATAATAGTGAAAATATCATTTAACATAACTAGGGGCAGCACAATCTACAATTATTTTATATTAACATTCAGGGCTGCTCCTCAAAAGTCTTTGAATTAGAGATGTTTCTGGAAAAGACTAAATTTGATGTAATTTGTCTATCAGAACATTGGCTTAAGGAGGACCAACTAATATCTTTAAATTTAGATAATTATAATGTAGTTAGTAATTTCAGTAGAAAGCATATGTTACATGGTGGGTCCTTAATATTAGTAAAAAATAGTATTAAATCAAAAGGAAGGAAAGACATTGTAGCACTGTCAGTTGAACACACCATTGAGTTGTCCTGTGTTGAGCTGGATAGACATGTTATTGTCTGTGTGTATAGGCCACCTAACTATCAGAATCTTACAGTATTTGATTCTGTCATGGAGGATGTTTTAAGAAAGGTTTGTTCTAGTCACAAATCAGTAATTATATGTGGTGATTTTAATATTAATTTATTAGAAAATAGTACTAGTAGTATGGAATTGTTAAATTTATTTGGATCATTTAATTTAAAAAATGTTTTTTTAGAACCAACAAGGATAACATCCTCTACCGCCACCTGTATTGATAATGTTTTCTGTAATTGTGACTACAAAGAAAAACATATTATAAATAGCTTGCCATCCGACCACTGTGGACTAATGGTTGCGTATAGCTCTTATTTACCTATCCTAAAAATTCAAATAAGATATAGACAAATCACGTTTAAAAATCTGGAGAAATTGAGCAATTCTTTAGCTACTAAATTATGTATGAAAGTATTTGATACTAGTAATCTGAATAAATTCTACAATGATTTCTTTGAGATGTTAAACAAGGAATTTAACAATATTTTGCCAATAAAAAATAAAGATATTCATACCAAATTTGTATTTAGCGACTGGGCAACTGTAGGTATTCGTAAGAGTAGGGACAGACTTTTTGAACTTTATGGAATGAAACCGTACAAAAATGACCCCCAATTTCACCAGTATGTAACATCTTATTCAAAAACCTTTAGAATAGTATGCAGAGTCGCGAAACGTCTTTATATTAGTAATAAAATAAAATCGTCTGATGATAAGATAAAAACTACTTGGAAAGTTATACACAACGAGACCGGTAGGAAAAGATTAAGAAACTCAGAATTTAATTTAAATACCGAAAGGGGACAGATTACATCAAACGTAGATGTAGCCCAGGAGTTTGAAAATTTTTTTACTAGTATTCCTATTAAAACAACTGAACATTTAAAGTCATCAGCAAACCTCTCTGTAACTTTGCTTAAGAACAACATAGAATCATGTCAATACGACTTTAGTTTTCGATATACGAATCCTCTAGAAATTATAAAAGTTTTTAAAGAAATCAAGACTAAATCAACGGAGGATCTTTGGGGCTTATCGGTAATGGTTTGCAAGTCACTTATCCAAACTGTAGCGCCATATCTGGCTGTGATTTTCAATAAATGTATAGATGACGGTGTTTTCCCTGACCTAATGAAATATAGTAAGGTTATCCCACTATTTAAAAGTGGTGACACTAAAGAACCTAACAACTATAGGCCAGTGTCTGTTTTACCGGTTCTCAGCAAAGTCTTTGAAAAGTTGATGCTGTCTCGGATGCTTCATCATTTTAATAAACATTCCATCTTTCACCAACAACAATACGGTTTCACTAAAGGTCGTTGCACAACTGACGCCGGTGTCACTTTGATTAAGGAAATATTTGGTGCTTGGGAGGAAGCACAGGATGCTATTGGTGTATTTTGTGACCTCTCAAAAGCATTTGATTGCGTTGACCACGAAACACTTTTGCTGAAATTAGATCATTACGGGATAAGAAACTCTGCGCTCCGTCTTATGAAATCTTATTTAGAAGAAAGACAGTTAAAGGTTCATGTTAACGGTATTAACTCACAGGGCTCTGGGATGAATATGGGCGTTCCTCAAGGTTCAATATTGGGTCCCTTTCTCTTTTTAGTCTATATAAATGATTTGCCATTTATATTTAAAAATGAACCAAGAATGGTGCTTTTTGCAGATGATACATCATTAATTTTTAAAGTAGATCGACGTACAAATAATCTTGACGACGTAAACAGCTCCATTCTTCAAGTGCATAATTGGTTTACCATTAATAATCTAGCACTTAATGAAAAAAAAACAAAATGTATTAAATTCAGTTTACCAAACGTGCGTAGTAACGATTGTGATATTGTTTTGAACGGTCAAAAGTTAGAATTTGTCGACGAGACAGTATTTTTAGGCATTACGTTAGACAATAGGCTACAATGGGGTCCGCATATAAAGGCGCTTTCGGGGAGATTGAGCTCAGCTGCTTTTGCAGTTAGACAGATTAGACAGCTCACGGACGTGGATACAGCTAGGCTTGTCTATTTTAGTTATTTCCACAGCATTATGTCGTACGGCATTTTGTTGTGGGGTCGAGCTGCAGAAATAGAATCAATATTTATTCTGCAAAAGCGGGCTATCCGAGCAATATATAACTTACGCCGTTGCGAATCGTTGAGAGAATTGTTTAAAACGATAAATATTTTAACGGTGCCCTGTCAATATATATATGAAAATATAATGTATGTAAGGAAAAATAGGCAATTGTTTGAAAAAAGAAGCGATAGACACAATTTTAATACTAGAGGCAAAAATAAGTTAGCTATACCGCAATTCAGACTGTCCAAAGTACAGAAATCCTTTATGGGGTTAGGTATTAAATGCTATAATAAAATACCAAATAGCATACTAGATCTCAATGAAAGTAAATTTAAAACATATATTAAGCGCGAATTATGTAATCAAGCTTACTACACACTGACAGATTATCTTGAAGATAAGAATGCTTGGCAGCATGTTGGTTCGGCTCCACTGGACAATACTCAAATGTAGTCAGTAGTTAAATTCCAATAGTAGGTAATATAATACATAATTTAATACTTTAATTCTAATGTAGACAATCTAGTTTCCTTATGGCATCGAGCATTTCTTTCTTTATTGAAACAAAGAGTTTCCTTTTTCTTGTATAGAAGCACTATTTCTATGGATTGTCAGTATGCATATGTGAGCACCATGTTGGACTTAAGATCTTTATTATTTTTATTTTTATTTTAGTAAGTTAGTAGTATAATGCGTCAAGCGTGTCTTTGCATTGTTCTTACATATGCGTACAGTATTGAAATATGTATCAGAGACATTGTAGAACATACTTTTTTAAAAGAGTAACGAATGGAGTTTCTTGCTCGTTCTTCTCCATTCGAATCTACGTTTTGGAATGAGCACCTAGCTTCACCTAGCTTCACTGACGGACTGACTGACAGACTATTATTTATTTTGTATTTGTTGACGTTTCAAAAGTACCAAACTATGGTTTAATTGAAATAAATGCTTTGACTTTGACTTTGACTTTGACTTTGACTTTGACTAGTGAATAATATTAACTAACATCTGCCTAAATAAACGTCTGAAGTTTAGAAATGTTATTTTACATCCAAGAAATAATAGGCAATGTAATAGTAGATAGTCATGGTGGCCCGGAGGTTTAAGACGCCCGCTTCTCACGCATGAGGGCGCGGGTTCGAAATCTACCAACAGCAAGTACCAATGTGACTTTTTCTGAGTTATATGTACTTCCTAATATTATTTAAACACTACGGACAAACGGTGAAGGAAAACAACGTGAGGAAACCTGGGCTTATAATTTCTAATTATAAGTTTGAAATTGCCAAAGCGTGGTGATTAATGCTCAAACCTTCTTCATGTAAGAAGAGGTCTTGGTCACTTATAGACTGTTGATGATTGATAATATAATAGTAACGTTACTATTATTTATGTACTGACTACCTCTATAATAACTATATTATTATTAATAACTACTTCGTTGGTTAGATGATGGCAAACGCAATTGCAAACGGAAACGGGTTTTAATTATATATATACAAAGTGTTGTTTTAAAGTCGCGTCATTTTCTAGGCTATCGATTCTGAGTCCAAACAATAAAAAAATGGTAGGTAATTCTTTTCATTTTTCTGTAAATTATCTACGCAAATTCGTAAGTGCGAACTACACGCCGCCGTCTTGTAACTAGCTTTATAACACGGTATAACACACACAAACACAAAAACGTAATTAATATTATTCCTAATTCCATAAAACTCCAATAAGAAGCATTGCTGTCGCTTTTTTTGAAATACTGTCCAACTTCAACGATTTATTATAGCCGTATTTTTAACTATTGGCCCGAAATTACGTTGAACCTTTATGACTTCTGTGACATGCCCCCGAGAAATGACACGGCTTCAAAACTACACCTTGTATATAGATTCGGTACCTACAAGCAACGTGTAATACACAATTTACATGAGCTTTTATCGAAGTATTGACTGGAATTGCCGTACAATAATATCGGCACT